CTACCTCTGTCAGAGAAAAAAATTGTCATTCTACCTTTGTCCTAAATCAAACCATCGTAAGTTTGACCAAATTAGTAAAACGGCCTACCAATATTTTACGATACCAAATTAGTAGCATTGAGTTTGGTGTGAAATATATTTTCATAATATACTCTTTTGATGTCATAAATGTAGAAACATTTCTTTATGAACTTAGTGAAATTTAGGATAGTTGGACTTTTGACAAAACTAGAATGACATTCTTTTTGGTAGGTACAGAAGAGTGCCTACTAAATTACTAATGATGGATCATTCCTTCTCTGGACAGCAGCTGACCCAACCCCAGCTCTGCATCTTCGCTAAGTTGATGATTGTTGATGTGATGGCCTGAAATTTTTGGAATCAAACTCCAGGAGGTCAATTAGGTTAGCATATCTTAGAGTATTTCATATATCTTAGTTTCATACTATGACTGATGGGACACGTCCAGTTATCCCAGCTGATCGGCAGCGCTGATGATTGTTCAGTTCTCCTTGGACGTCTGAACACCATTGCCTCGAAGGTCTGAACAGGAATACGTACACACACAAAAAAAAAAGAATTCAGTGTGTTCAATAATTTGAAGCCTGCTTAGTTTACTTGCGTTGATGTGACCTTGTGATACATACTCTCATTTTCGTTGTTACATGTCCTCTCTGGCAGGCATATTCGGAGCGTGGTGGAATATTTTTGATGTCTCCCGATCCGGTTGCAATTAATGGCTGATCCTCGATCCGAACATCGATCAGGATTTGCCGTTGCTCTACACTTGTATCATCGATCGGGCCGTGGTTGAGCCAAGGCGTCTGATTAAAGTCCGTCAGTTAGGAGCCCTGAACTAAGGTAGTAGCCAGGGAGATGCATGCTTCCGTAGCCAAACAGGAGTAATCGCGTGCACCAGCACGTAATCGGCATCGCATCCCAGTGTATCATTATTAGGCCTTTTCTATAGTTGGTGTCATTTACCTTGTGATGAAGAATTTAAGCTGGGATAAGAAGACGAATGGCAGAAGCAACAGGGTCGTCACGTCGTGTCCAACGCTGAACGTTTCTTCAACCACCCTTTGTAAAAAAAAAAAGGTGTCAAGCAACGACAGACTTGGCGTCTCAGATGAGAGAGAAGCGAGACGAAGCAACAACAGCTTCTCTGTTGGATCACTAGTAGTGTTACGTTGGACCTAACCCTGCTTTGCTGCGGCTTAACCCTTGTTGGATCACGGACGACAGCCGACCACGTTCCTCGCCGGTGACGTGTACGATCTCCGGCGAAACCCGGTCGCCTTAATTCGCGCGCTAATATAACCTTGCCGCCGTCGTCACTTGCTAATCCTCCTAGGTCACAGAGTCAAAATCCAAGTATAGCAAGCTAAAATAGCAAGGCCACACAATCCAAATCCAACCGTCAAGCAAGGTGCAATTTCACACTCTCCCTAGTACTACTAGAAAATTGCTGCAAAAGCAAAGCATCCACCACCGGAATAACAGCAATACGATGTGGTAGCATTATTCCTGTGAAATGCTCGCGTAATGCCTGTTTGGCACGTCTCATATATTAGCTGCCAACTGAGACGTCCGTGCTCCGCCCGCCACTTACACATGATGATGGAGCTGCCGCTTGGCTCGTCCCTGTTTCCCACCGTGACAAGGAAAGCTCACCGGCGACACAACATACGCCGTTGCCGGCAACACGAGTATATGGTATGAACGCACCCTAATAAACTGCCGCAGCGCAGGGCATTATCCTTATCCCCATCGATGATGGGTCGGTCAGCTGGGAAACGTGCCAACTGCCACAAGCGCAAGTACTACTGCTGCCGATGCATGGGGTGTTATCAGTCACGCTCACAAGGTAGCTAACCAGGAGACGTGCCAATGCAAGTTTTTCTCCTCCTCGTCCGGCCATATTTTTTGGGTGGAAAAAAAGTGCGAGGAACCTCGAGTATACGCTTCACCACTGACCAACAACCAACACAAACGCTTCGACTCCCTGCACTGCATGCAAGCATGAGTTTTGGCCTCATGCTACAACAAAAATAGCTAAATGTTGGCAACAGTATCGTACTGCAATGTTTTTCCATCCGTTCATTAGTTCCAATTCAATGATACGTGGAAATGGATTCCAAATAAACAAAACCGTCCGGGAACACGCTGCAGGTCGGATTATTCAGACCCAGTCGTACGTCGTCCCGTGCCGACCACTGCCCATAGGACATGGCCATGCATGCATGTCGAGCTCGGCCTCCTCCCTCCTCCGACCTGTCACTCTCCAACTGGGGACGACCCTACTTGCCTTCCACACCAGCCGGCCGCGCCTTAGCTTCCATGTCTATCTAGTAGCCCCTTGCAGTTGCAGGATGCAGCAAGCAAGCGAGATTACTCCCTTCTTGAATTGCACGATTAGATTTCCGTTTCCTTTTCGTCCCTAGTGGGATCGGAATATGCTGCGCTACTGCCATGGTTGCGACTTGCCATACATACATGCGTGCGCGCCAACCGTCGCCGCGGATCCACACCTCCCGATCCCACCCAAACCTTCCCTATAAATTCGCACCTCGCAACCTTCATCTTCCATCTCGATCCCTGCTGCATAAACCGTCCGTCCATCTCCCAAGAACTAGTAATCCGTATCGGCACAGAGCCGCTCCGACGGCCATGGCGGCGGCGGGCCTCTCGCTGTCCCTCCTGCTGGTCGTCCTGGCCGTCGCCGCCGGGCGCGCGGCGGCGCAGGACTACGACTTCTTCTACCTGGTGCTGCAGTGGCCTGGGTCCTACTGCGACACCAAGCAGAGCTGCTGCTACCCCAAGTCCGGCAAGCCGGCGGCGGACTTCGGGATCCACGGCCTCTGGCCCAACCGCGACGACGGCTCCTACCCGCAGAACTGCAGCCCCGACAACGCCTTCAACCCGTCAAAGGTGCGTGCGTGCGATTCTTCCCCTCCTTCCTCTTCTTCTTCTCTTTCTCGCCCCGCATGCGTTTGATGCCGCGGCGGCGCGGCCGGCATGTACTCTCTTGGGTTTCGCGTGCCGAGTGCCAACACAAAGCTTCGTCCTCACGTTATGGTTTATGTTGTTGTCACTTTTGCTGTTTGACGAGGTCTTTCTGTTCTGCTATTGGCAAATTTCTGGGGCATCTTGTTGTTTGAACGTCTCCCGTTGTCGACGATGATCCTACAGCTCAAAATCATCCATTTTTTTTTGTTTGGTATGTATTGGAACACAAACCACAGATTAGGGGTGATGTGAGATGAAGGACAGGTATCGTTCCTTTTGGCTTCACTCCAAAACACCCCATTGGATTGTTTGTTGCCGTCTCTAGAAGCCACACTTGTGGCAACATTCTTTCTTCCTCGTTACAACTGTCGCCGCTCTGTTCTGTCAACGTGTAATTTGGAGAATTGATATGGGTGAAATTTAATTTACCGTCATCTCGCAGTAAAAACTCTTTGCAAAGCTGCATTGCCCAAATAAGCATTCTTGGAATATTCGTTCCACCGATCATCATCGTGGCAATTGCCATGCTGACATGTCGCGTGATGACACGTTGCAGGTGAGCGACCTGCTGAGCAGCCTCCGCGCCAAGTGGCCGACGCTGGCGTGCCCATCCGGCGACGGGCTCAAATTCTGGGGCCACGAGTGGGAGAAGCACGGCACCTGCGCCGCCAACGTCTTCGACGAGCACGGCTACTTCCAGGCGGCGCTGCGCCTCGGCGACCAGCTCGGCGTCCTCGCCGCGCTCACCTCCAACGGCGTCAACCCCGACGGCGGCTACTACACGCTGAGCCAGATCAAGGGCGCCATCAGCCAGGGCACAGGCTTCGAGCCCTACGTGGAGTGCAACCGCGACGAGGCCGGCAACAGCCAGCTCTACCAGCTCTACTTCTGCGTCGACGCCGCCGGGGATAGCTTCGTCGAGTGCCCCGTCCTCCCCAGCGGCCGGCCCTGTGGCAACAGGATCGAGTTCCCGGCGTTCTAAGCTAACTGTTCTCGTCAGTTGTTCCATGATACTACTAGTCCTTTTGCTTGCATTCATAAGTTCAGTCACAGTCACACTAGTGAGTGTTGTGTTTTCTTGTTGCACGCACGCCATCTTACCTGCTTTCAGCAGCTGCAAACCACACACTCTCTATCTGACGTTGCGTCGCATATGTGCATCTTGTTGTCGACGCGACACGCCTCGCAATTCAGGCCGCGAATACGAAACCAAAGCGTGCACGGTCAGGGCATTCCATTTTCAGGCTTTTGCCGTCCAAGCTAGAAGACGATATACTGAAGCGTAACAAACGGAAACGCCGCCTTGACTGACTTCCAATCCAAGCAGAAAACATAGTAAAAACAAGACAGAAAAACATAGTAAAAGCCAGACAGAGAGAGACTACGAATCAGGGAACACGACAGCAGACACAGCACAACCAAATTCTTATACTACTACCTTTTACAGGTGCTTGGTTGTGAACTCCGAATCTACCGAAACATATGCTAGCTTCCAGCCATCCCTGTCCCTGATCGTCGGCATCAAGGTCGAACACAACAAATTCGACTAGGATTAGTCAACCAATGAGACATTTACACATAAAAAAAGATTATAACTCTGGTAGCCAATGAAGCAAGGGGCCAGGGCTTTCCTGTTGAACAGTAGCAAATACGACGATGCAAATATGGCACACATCACTTTCAATAAAAGTGTTTTATTAGCTTCTTTGTAGTTTGTAAACTCCAACAAGCTACAAACAGAACCACAATACAGACGGAGCAAAATTTATGTGTGGTGTTAAACAAGGCCTGGTTTAGAAACAGGCGATAACATGGGGGTGGATGTCCGTCCGGCCCCCATGTAGTAATTAGAAACTAACAACAGCAACCATCTGGAGCATCTTCCTACACGTCGACACCAAAAAAATTCTAGGCTGCAAAACTTAAAAGCCATTCAAGATCATCGTTCCTTTGTTCTCTTGTGGACTTCCTTCCATTTCACTTGCTTCGCTTCAAACGGATGCAGCAGCTTCCTGCTGTTTGTTCGCGAAGGAGATACCCTTCTCAATGCTTCCCTTCAACTCAGCCTTCAGCGCCTCAAGTGCCTTGGCCTCGTACTCAGTCACTCCCTCGAGGTTGGCAGAGACCACGGATTCAACACCGTTCTTGCCGAGCTTGACTCTTGAAGCGAAGAACGGCAGATCAGTGATCTCAGACTGAATAAATGTGCACTCATAAACATCTGGATCGCCAGCCAGCGCGCGGAGAGACGACTCAACAAATCTGGCAGCAGCATAGGCCATGGACAGGGTAGCAGACCCAGCGCCAGCCTTGGCCTCCACCACCTCTGTCCCGGCATTCTGTATTCTCTTTGTCAGATCCTCAGTTTCCTCATCTGTGAAGGTGACAGACGGCTTGGTCTTCGATAACAGCGGCAGAATTGTGATTCCAGCATGCCCACCAACAACTGGGACATCAACATCAATGAGCTTAAGGTTCTTCTTCTCCGCCACAAATGTGTTAGCCCTGACGACATCCAGGGTGGTAACCCCGAAAAGCTTCTTGGGGTTGTAGACACCCTTCTGCTTCAGAACCTCAGCTGCAATTGGCACCGTGGAATTCACCGGGTTGCTGATGATATGGATGAACGCCTCTGGGCAATTGTCCGCGACAGCCTCAACAAGTGACTTGACGATGCTCGCGTTGATGTTAAAAAGGTCATCACGAGTCATGCCAGGTTTCCTTGGGACCCCAGCAGGGATAACAACAACATCCACGCCTTTCAAGCAGTTGGCTAACTCTGAGGGACCAGTGAAGTCAAGAACCTGGGCAGGCGTGTTGCAGTGGCTGAGATCTGCAGCAACTCCCTTGACATTAGCAATATCGTACAGATGCAGCTCCGACACCAGAGGAGACATCTTAATCAACAGGCCCAAGGGTTGACCGATGCCACCGGCAGCACCCAGCACTGCCACCTTGTAAGATGCCTGTGGAGATATCTGAGATCCAGACTTTGCCTTGGGCACAATCCTTGGAGCAACAGCTGCCCGAAGGGACGCATTCCTGCCCAGGAATGACGACTCTGAGCCAAAGCTCGGCACCTTTAAGCCAGCGTAGCTTGTGGCTCCAAGGTTCCTTGGCTTTTGGATCAGCCCAGCTTGGGCGCTAACTGAGCTGAAGGTAACGGTTGACGCCATGTCTGACTGCAGCAACGAAGTTCAGTCAGGTACATATGCAGGTGAGGTAGAAGATAATTCAAGACAGAGCGATATCTTGACAAACTGGATTTAGAAGCAGTAATAACCAAGAATGAAACATGTATCAAGCAGGTGATCTACATAGAACAGTAGTTAAAAAAAGCTTTCTTCCAAGCATCAATAGTGCAAGAACACGCACCAATATTGGGAGTCGGAATTTCAGATCCATCATGATTAACATATATGGAAGGAAAAAGTCTACTTAACCCCCCCACCTTTCATACATGGTCTACTTCACCCCCCAACTATGAAACCGTCTGTTTTACCCCCTGAACTTTCCAAAACCGTCTATTTTATCCCCCGGGCGGTTTTTGACAGCGGTTTTGCTACCGTAACAGCGGGTTTGCTACAGTAACGGTGGGTTTGCTACAATAATGGTGGGTTTGAATTTTCTTTTTTTTATTTTCGGTGAATCTTTGAAAAATCACAGTAAATCATAGAAAAATCATAAAATAAAAAATCTAATTTTGTTGGACTCCACATGAGTAGATCTACATAGTGAATATATAATGCGGTATGCTTTAGTACAAAAATTTTACTGTAGCCTTAGATTAATTGGAAAATCTAATTTTGTCTGTAATTAATTGAAATAATTCATAGCTGCAGCTTCTATGGTCCAATTGTGGTGAAATTTTTATGTTACGCTAATTATTGTATACTTGAACTATAGTAAAAATTTCGTACTCATTGGACTATGTATAACTTAGTTATAGATAAATTCTAATTAATTACAGAAAAAATTGGATTTTCCAATTAATCTAAAGCTAAAAAAAAGATTTGTACTAAAGCATACCGTATTATATATTCCCTGTGTAGATCTACTCATGTGGAGTACAATAAAATTAGATTTTTCATTTTATGATTTTTCAAAAATTCACCGAAAAAAATAAAAAAAAGGGAAATTCAAAACCACCGGTACTGTAGCAACCCGGCTGTACTACGCCGGGTGGGTAAAATAGACGGTTTTGAAAAATTTAGGGTAAAATAGTTGGGGGTGAAGTAGACCAGGTATGAAAGGTAAGGGGGTTAAGTAAACTTTTTCCTATATGGAAAATGTTCGTGAGTTGGTCTGACTCAGAATTGATCATATGACTGAGTTCCCCTAATGGGGTATCTACGGACAGAACTCACAGCAAACGTAATCCTATACCTGACTTGCGCACTCTCTTGGTTTGCAATCGATGCTAACATTCGTAATTGCTAGTATCACTAACAAATCGAGCTACCCTGCTAGATTAAATTGCCTTCCAAAGCATAATCCGATAGCCGGACAAGGTAAAGGTATCGAATGTACAGTAGTATGTATGTATTGGGAATTAAACGGAAAGGAATGAAAACCGAGCAGAAGGCGGAAACGTGCAGATCTACAGGCGCCCCGAGGGAAGGTGCGGTGGGGGAACCCAACAAGAAACGGAGCAGATGGATCCAATCTAATCGAAGCAGAAGCAGAAGCAGAAGGAGAAGGAGAAGGAGAAGGAGATGAGGCTTCGTCGGTGGCCTTACCCTTGCGCGCTCCCCTCGGTTGGGGCTTTTGACGGCTCCTTTTCCTGGCCCTGGCTCCCCTGGCGCTCGTTGGGGCAGAGCCGCAGAAGGCAGGGCAGCACGGGCACGGGCTGGAGGCTCGTGAGCAGCGGCAATGGCCAGCAGGCAGGCGGGCACGAAAAAGCGCTCGTCCTTGGCCCGGTGGTAGAAAAGGGGCAGAGCAGGGCAAGAGCGGCGGCGCGTGCCGTGGTTTTTCTATGGGTAACCCTTTTTCTATTGCGCCCGACCAACGGACGGAGACGGAGACGGAGGCGGCGAGGGCGACGTGCGGTGCGGCCTAGGAAACAACGGAGGGGATTCTCAACCCCACGGCCGTGCGCGCGTGGACCCGGCCTACGGGCGCGAGCGCCTGGATATTTTTGGAAGCGCGGCCGGCGAGTGGCGGCCCTGGTGCGCCGGGTGTTTGGAGCGCGGTAGGTGGGGCGCGCCCGCGGCAGGTGCCGGCCAGCCAGCCAGGGAGGAGCCGACGGGATTCGGGAATTTCCCGCGACGTGGAGGTGGGGTGGAGTGGAGGCGCTGTGCACGGTGGAACGCAAGCAGGGGAACGCCGTTGCTTTTGCACACGTTTTTTTTTCCCCCTGGCTGCGAGCTGGTCGGGGTTGGCGCGGCGAGAGGGACAGCTCTCTGTCTCGTCTGTTCGACTGCGTGCGGCCCGGAAAGGAGAAGGGGGAAGGCTGGGCCTCGGGCTTCATTCCGTCAGACGAAGCGTTGTGGCTGCGTTGTCAGTATGGGCCTGGCCCAGGCTTAATCTAGTTGCATCTGGAATTTGAGCGGCAGTTCCGCGCATGTTGGAATCTGTTCAAGCGGTCCTGGTAGTCAGTCAGGCCGCCCTGTACCAGCTGGGCCTGCCCAGCACCTGGCCGGCCCAACCGGTGCAACAGGGCTTCTTCTTCTTTATTTTGTTCTGGACCAGCAAAGCCTGGCTGGTGCCGGTCCTTGTTTGTTTCTCTGAACCAACTGCCAGTTTTCTACCATAATAAAAAGGGAAGGTGTTTGTTCTTGTGCGGTGTGCATCGGCAGAGATAATGGCGGCAGCAAGAAATACACAAAGAAGAAGACACGTAAACACCATCATGCCTGCACAAGGATAGATCCGCGGCCCACGATGCGATGGGGCAACCGTCAGCACCCCGCGCTGGGGAGCTGTGTGTGGTTGTCGCCGCCGCAACAGCACCATGGCCTCGTCGTAGAAACATAGATTAGAACAACATAACATATCAATTCAACAGAAAGATAAAAGAGAGTGAAGGGAGATCCAGACCGAAGAGAGAAGGGGGATCGCGATTCAACACATCACATGCATATCGAGATTGAATGAACACATGACACATCAAAGAGAGATTGATTCAATGATCTATAAAATATACCCAAATGCAAAGCATCACTATCACCAAATGAGGACGAAAAATCATGAATCAAGCCTGGTGGAACCTTGTCGCACGCCATCGGAGCGAAGGACATCGGGCTGCCATGGAACGGACAACGGAACTTGTCACTGCAGGGCCTACCTGTGTGTTGCCCATAAGAGGGTTGTGGCAACTGCCTCACCTACCAGCGCGCCGACCTTAGGGGCAGGGCAGCAATTGCCGCACATGCTGGGGTTGTCGGAATTAGGCGGGGGGAGGAGCCGAAAGGTAGGAGGAGATCTGGGAGGGAGTCCAAGGTAGCATGAGATAGGGAGAAAGAAGGATAGGGAGAGACCGCAGGTATGAGGTGGGAAGTTAACTGCATTGCATATCATCCGAATACTTTGTCACTACTGATCACTAATATCATCATTGTTGGTTTTTAATATAAACCAGGAGTGGTTGTCTGTTATGTAGTATTGTACCTATATTGGAGGTGTTACCAGTCCACATTTAGAAAAGGCACAACTAAATGAAGTGGGCATATCGTTTAGTTTGTACCTATTGGAGGTGTTACTAGTCCACATTTAGAAAAAAAAAGCACAACTAACCATCATGAAGGGGGCATATCGTTTGCTGGAGACGATGGTAACGGAGATCTTCACCAAAAATGGGTGATTGTCTTTCTGTAGCAGGAAACAGTGCGGTGATCGACAGTGGAGACACGTGTCCATGCATGCAGCAGGAATTATCATGAAGATTGGGGCCCTAAACCTGCATGTATGGCCAAGGCACCAGTGCTGTGCAGCCTGTGCTGGTGCTTGTCGGGGCCTTATTATTGCCTTGACAAAACGCCGACAGGGAAATTGCCTTGACAAAACGCCGACAGGGAAAAGAGCGTGACAAAATGCCGTGCCTTCTGGATCGATGGCTTTGACTTTTCAATGGGTCCTTTTGCCTCCGTGTAATTGAATACATTCTAATAATTACAATTTAGACATAGATTAATTAAACTAATATAGTTATATATGAAATATATTTGTGAATTTATTGCAAGGCATACAGGGACGTACTTATATGTTGTATTTCTATTGTAGGGAAGTGAGTTGAAGAGTGTGCTATAAGTTGGAGAATAAAATTATAGCATAGTGATCTATAGAATCTATTTCCATCTCCCACCCTATGAATTTAAGATACGCTTATTTGTGAGCTTGAGAATGTTATGGAATGTCAAATTCCAAACCAAATAGCATAATTCATTATGTAGATTTCAATTCCTCCAAAATAAAATGATCCAACGGCCCTACATGTGATGGCTGGAATGTATTTGTCGACAAATGATGCTCGGCAGTTCTTCGAGGGGTATCCCACGAAGGTAGATTGATCGGCAGAGGTGTGCGTAATCAAGAACAAGAAGGCAATAGAGACACAAGAGTTAGACATGTTCAGGTCATCAGCACAACGTAATACCCTACTCCTGTGGTTTGTTTGTTTGTATTGACGATCGTATGATATTCCGTATGTTTTGAGGGGGTCCCTGCCCGCCTTATATAGTCTGGGGGCAGTGTTACAAGTCGGTTAGATCCAGGAGATAACCGAAAAGTAATAACAGATTACATGAATTATAGGATCGAACGTATCCTAATAGATCTCGTACTGTCTTCAGGATATCTTCTCGGTGTCTTACAGGGCGCGCCGAGCAGCGTCGTGCTCCGCAAGGCTTCGTCTTATGGGTTGGACCACCCCTAGGGGCGCAGCCCATGTAGTCTGCCGTGGGTATCCGAGGTCGTACCCCTCACAGCTAGCCCCCGAGCATTTTATATCCGCTGTGCAACGTCGTCTTGACCTTGTCCGAGCAGGCGTGAACAAAGCCGAGCAGTCAGACTTATAGTCCGACCACCATAATGAGTCGCCGAGCAGTTGTGAACCGTCGCCGAGCAGTGTATCCAAAGTAAGGCTTGCCATAAGGATGTAAGGAGCTCAAGTTCAAAATCAAAATTTTTCTCACTGTGAACCAAGTGTGCCCACTTAAAGTCCAACCACGAAAAGGGG